GATTGCTTATGAATTGTGTGTCAGGAGGCTAATGTCAGCAGATTCCGTGCAAGAACAATGCAGATGTAAGAGAACCCCGTCTCTGAGCCCAGTACTCGACAACGGGAAGTCCTGGTTTGGATATAACAAATCCTTGGAGTAGAGTTCCTACTTGAGATGCTTACAGTCGCTTGGCTGTTCGAGAAATTCCTCGGATTTTATGGAACACAAAGGTTCATTACTGTGTTTCTGAGTGCCCACCACTGCACCATATCGTCAGCCACTTGAATATGGTTCAAACCTTCACCTTATTCCTTTAAAGTCCACTGTAGTAATTTTATCCATCCTACGAACGCCTCACAAATGCCTTTCATGGCTTCAAACTTAAGTGCTGAATTATATATGTTTTCTAAAATCGTTCTTTGAGGATAGCCCTGTTTTCTATGGTCCTCATATTAAAATACTGTTGATATAAAACAGCATGTTTGTTCCTTGTATCCGTATTCCGTTGCATGTATTTTGACGTCGATGTTATAGGGAGGTGAGTGGTTGATTATGCCCGGCCACCTTACCAGAAAGGACAGAGAGAGACCTCGGTACACTTCTGATTGGGTTTTAAGGTGGCTGGTAAATACGAAGTCTCTGGCTCCAACGGATCCACGAACCCCGGTCGAGTAACGATGCTGAGATAGCAAAGGACGTCACCTCAGTCCACGGAGGCTTTAAAATAAAAATTAAAGGCTATGCCTTTCAGGACACATGGTAATTGCGGTTAATTTTTATTCAGGATCAGTGTTTTTCGAACGGGTATAACATACCTCGTTGGGCTAAGCCAGATTGTTCAGGTGTCAAACCTGCTGATTCTTTTGGATAGAGAAGAAGATGGCGCAATGTTGAACACTAGAAAGAAAGAGAGAGGAAAAACGGGCAAGCCCTTCTGAATGTTGGACTGGGTTCATTGCCTGATTCCCTCTCTTCGTCAGGGTCAATAAGGTACGTCAACCACCAATCAAATCACAGGTTGACTGACCCCTGCTAGAAAGAATGCCGCCCGCCGACAAACTGACTGATGATTTGCACTAAAGCCGTTTCATCAAATGTTTTATGGGAGCCTCAAAGTCATTGATAAAGACACATCACGTGTTTCGGTGGAGAAATCTCAGCTTACTTTTTGTAAATGTGGTACCTCCGTCCTGGATTCTGTTACCAGAATACTCGACTGTCTTCGTGACATACACTTCCTTCCAGGGACGCAGTTACCGTCGATTCAATTATCAGAATGTCACGTGATGCCAGTTTCATCACTGGAATACTGTAGTAGCGTAAAACATGTGAATTGCATTTGTAGAAAGCACATTTGTTGCGACGTCCATTATAAGAATGTACATTTATTCTGAACTCATTATCAGAATGTGATTTTCTTGTGGATTTTATCACTGGAATGTTGTTTTTAAAATTCTATTCACAAAATATCTGATACTGTGAATTCAGGTTATGTTTTGAATTTCATGTGATAATGTCGTATGACTATTCCTTTATGGAAATATCTTTAATGAAAGAGGACGACAAAGAGAAAGGATAGAATATGGATAAAGCAGAGAGACAAGAATAGTAAGGAAAAATACGTGCGAATAGTGTAATTCACAGTTTTAAATGGAGTTCCAGAACGTATGGAATTCGTAAGTAAAACTCCACTCATTTCATGACTAGACACAGAAGTGTGTGATCGGTTAGCTGCTTAAAGTCCACTGCACGCATCGGCAGGGTGAGCCTCAGAGCCGGTCTGGACGAGGTGTTGCGAAGAGGTCAATCTGTGTTCTTATTTGGAAATCGAACCCCGGTCGTTAACCCGGAACGCAGCAACATTATTTACTGAGGGATAAAATAATACAAATACGGGGTAAGAGTGCCTGGAGATCAAAGAACTTGTGCAGCCAGAAGCCACTACAAGTTACACTTCCACGTAATTTGTACTCAATGAAATTTATCAGTCTTCCCCAAAATTATAAGAAAGTTTTATTCTCGTGATACAAGAACACGTAACTCAGTGGCAAAGTATATTTCTCGAAAATTTGTCGAAGAGCTCAAAATATTTCTAGTTCTTATTAGAATCGTAGATTCAACATCGATTTTCCCTAAAGTTAAATCCTGGATGCTGGTTAATAAAGCGTCGGACTGGAAGCGGTGAAATGCCTTTTCCAAAATAATATCCAAGCATACATTTTACCATTAAGTGTGGATTTCTAATCCTGGATAGATTCAAATTTTAAAGCCGAAAAGAGCAGACAAGTGGCAGGATTTGAACGGACACGTCGTGGCCTTCGAAGGGTATCTGACATCCCTCGCGTGCGTCTTTATTCTTCCGCTCAAGCGTCAAGAAAATGTGACACTAGAATCTAATAAAAGGAGAAAAACTGTCTACAACGGAATCCGAACTACTTCCGTTTAAAACAGGTTTCTGTTTTAATAACGTATATCATGTCATATGCACATTAGGTACACCGAGTACTTACGATGTAAAGTCTCCGTTATTTTTGTCCGATTATAAAAAAAATTTTAGTAAAAGTTTAAATTTCATAGAAATGATTTCAGATATTCTCAAGGTTATAAATTTTTTTAGTAAAAGTTTAAATTACATAGAAATGATTTCAGATATTCTCAAGTTGTTGCCTGCGTACAGACGAAGGGACCAGCGGTTTTGGGTCTGGGAAAGACACGAAGGAATTGAAAAACGTTCAAGATATTCACACTTGTTCTGTACTCTGTGGAAGACAGTCTGCTTCAGGACTTACGATGTAACAACATGTTTATGTTTGCGTTGATATTCGTATTAAAACCGACCGCAGAGACATTTGTGCTTCGATCCACTAACGAAAATACCTTGTTCAGGCAGAACATGTCTGCGGAATGATCTGAACTCAAGAATTTCGTGTTTTTAAATATCTGCCGAGATATTAGCTACTCTGATCGAAGTTTTCCGTGCTTTTCCCCCCGTCTGTCGAGGTTAAAGATAACACAGTATTTTGAAACATACCACGCACTGCTGCGTCCTTTCTAATCGCTACCTATTCACCATACATCATCGTCTCTTCAGACACGATTCTACGTTTTACACTGTCGAAGGAAGTTGTCAGTTTCTTGAGAACGACTGTACCAATGCAAATAGCACAGACGCAGGTCCTCATTTCATGTGTTTTTATGGCGTGCTACATGACAATACGTTTCAGAATGGACAGACCACCTGTTCAGCATCACCATGGTGATGAATAGGGTTAGGTATGCAAATGTACAACTCACTTTTATTTTCATTTCCATTCATGTGAGGTCACAGGTATAAGTGTGTTTTATGACCCGTAAGATTGGATGCGGCAGACAGCTGACGTATCAAACCGCGAAAGGGTTAACAAGCCGAAATGATAAAGACAGTTAAACATGGTGATGTTTCTGAAAAGAAATTTTGTCAAGGGTTTGACACAACTTTTTTTTTTTTACGACGAAACTCCTGTAACTTGCTCTGAACTTTGAACCTTTAACCTAGATACAATCGGTGAATGAATTTGGTAAACATTGCGAGTGGTGACTTATTTTAAATATTTCCTGGAAATTCTAATTATGGATGTTAAAGAAGGAATCGGGTTTGAAGACAGCATGAGCGAAAGCCAGAAACATAAGGAGAAAGAAGGAAAGTGAGGAAGAGAGAGATAAATATGGAAAACGGCTTAGACATAGAAAAACAAAGTATAGAAAGGAATGTAAAAGTAGTTCATTGCCGTGTTTATAGGAATACGTCACTGGTCTGTCCTGAGGCTTATAGATTGTCAAACTAAATTTCTTCAAAACTGGGTTTTATATTATCCAAAAATAGAAAAAGTTAAATTTTGGCGTAAATTCAGTGAGAAATATCTTTGGGCCAGCATGAAGAAGAATTTTAACCGTCTTGTTTAATTAAGCAATCCAAGGCCGTCATATAAGACACGCATCTCACAGCTGTGAATGAGATCTTGGCTGTCTTGTTTCACCTTGTATCACCTGCTGTTCAGATCTCTTCCAGCTGAACTGTACAAAGAAA